TCCTTTTAATTAGGGAGGAAGAGGTCTCAGAGTACCTGACCCTCCTAGGTCACAAAGACCTAAATTCCGATCAGGAGATCAGATCCTTTTAATTATGTTTGAAATTATGAACATTGCTCAACATCATGAAAATTAAACCTTATTTTCAATAAGCAATCCTGAAAAATATTTGGGGGTGCTTAACTTTTTTCCAGGTGTATATATATGGTTTTTTTCATCATCTTTGAGAACTTCTCTGAAATCTACTTGCCATTAAGTTGTATTTTCATGATGAGTGCCAAAGTCTTTAATTAACCAAGTGAACTGTAGCTTTTAATTGTTGTAAAACTTAAAAAGACATTTAAACACACAAAAGTGTTTAAAAAGGATAAAAAATGAATACTTTCAGGATAAAATACATCTAATATTATGGTCAATATGGCATTTGGAAAGTTAACTATTTCATGCTGTTTTAAGGCTTGTTGGAAACAAACATGATGATTTCCATAATATAGTTTACATATGCTTTGATAATTCTTTGCTCCCACTATTTGCAATGAGATAAATGTTACTGTGACAGTAGTTGTAATTTCTAAAACACTTACATGTAAAAATGAATCACATTCGTGTTATTACCAAGTACTCCATTATACCAGGTGCAATTTGGCTGCTGGTATATTTTACAAAACACAGAAAAATTATTAAGACAGCTTACATCGTATTTGCACAAGCCTCTGTAATCATGTAATTGTATACCTCTTGAAAGACTGAACCACACCTAAAACAAAATTATAAGTTGAAGTTTAATAGTGACATTGACTTAGTTTTGCTTTCAATAAAATAAATACAGCTATTTGACATTGCAATACTTCCACAGTTAGACTTATGGCGTAAGGAATATGTGACAATCCATTCCAAGGAAGGACGGTTATAAACCAAAATGCCACCTTAAAGAGTTAGACTATTCTAACTTAAACATTATTATGAAAATGACAGCATCCATTGACTGAAATGTGCAGAAATAACTCTTCCTGCGACAATCATCAATCTAGCTCATATTTCAAAATACATGCATATACGCACAATCCAATGTACTTGTTGCACAAGTAATGAAAGAAAAATTACTTTTGCCATTATAACTAGAGCTAAGTGATTAGTGGAATTTGATAATCAAGTAATCTTTGGACTCATTAATTGATTATATTCAACTAATTGATTATTCTTGCATGAGACTTGTATAATTTGAAGCAATCTAAAATAGTAATAATTGGAAACTAACTGTGATTTGTTGATTATTTTCATGAGTTGTGATACTAATTGATTAAGATTAACAACCTTAAATTACTTTGATATAATATTAAGAAATCATAATGATAATAATAAGAAACATTAATTTTGATTAGTTGATTATTTTATGTTACACTAATCAATGCTCATAAGTAATCGATTAATTGCCCAGCTTTAATTATATCATTTTGTCTGAATTGCCTTGCTCTTTCCATTAGTACTGCTTTATAAATGTCATGAAAAACCAACTATATCAGTTAAACACAAAAAATAACTCGGGCAAAAATAAAATAAGATTATACATATTTTGTTAACTTCTTAAAAAGAGCCAGATATATACTACCAGTCTCTTCTTTGTCATCAGCTGAGACAAAATTATATCACAATGTGTTCTCATCATCATAGTTAATTTGCTCATTCACCTCTAATTCTTGGAGTAATCAATTTTCCAGAGGTTCATTGGTGTAGAGTTTAAGCTTGTCAATTAGTTCAACACATAAATGCATCATTCAATCATTTCAACTCGTAATTTACCTCAGTGAACTGTTGAAGTACAAGACAAGAGCAGCCCAACCAGAATCAACTTGCTTCCATGTTGTTGACACATACCATAGCCAACTTCGATCAATAGGTTTGAATTTTGTTCCATTACTGCACAGTTGTAAAATGTGACTTTACCCACTAGCTGACACACAAATTAATGTACAGCAACTATTGTAGAATGCAGCCATTTCACATTTTTCTGTGGACAATGTGGCACATCATCTACTCTGGGTGGAGAGTCACATGCCAGATTCACTAGGAGTTGTTCTTCTCATTTGAACTTCAGGAGGTTTGTAGAACAACCAGATCATTGTTGCTCAGTTGCACAGTATGCTGCCATGACATATAACAAGTGCTTATACCAAACCATTGGCTTGAAGATTATAAGATGAAGTGTTTATCACCACACTTAAAAAATGTAAAGCAACTGGCTATTAAAGTTAGCTCCTTTGTCTATGTAGATCTGCAGTGGACTGGGCTAACTTTTCAACAAACAGATAAGTTTCAGCCCACTTAGTGAATTAATCCATAATGATCAAACTATAGCTAGGACAATTTTCTTAAGAGAAGAACCTATAACTCTTTGACAGAGTTCTGCTTAAAATGGCTTATTTTTTTACTTTAGACAGTGCACATAGTACTGTGTCTATACCGTTATACTTAACGTCTTTATTTGAATATAGTACAAAACAGCTTTCCAACATTTCGTGCATGACTGTCTCCTGTCCTTGTATTATACAAAGTCTGCAGTATTTCTGTCCTAAGAGCTCCAGAAACCACTAGCTGCATCAGAGGTTGGTTTCCATGTCTCAGTGAACTGAGATACTATGCACATCAGCACTACATCTGTAGGTTTATGAAAGTCATACTTTACTTACTTACTGTGTAACAAAAAGTGACAAAGCTAAGTTTGAGTCCTTCAGTTATTCTTTCTTAAGTTCATAAATTCAGAATTGCAATAACTGTAATTGTAATAATTGTTCATCATCTCTGTTCATGCAGTGTCTTTAACTACTAGAAAGGTTCTAATGTCTGAACATTCAATAGATGGACATGATCTCATTAGCTGGTGAGTTAGTTCATTGGCATTTGTGTGCTATTGACATGGGTGATGGTGTACATTAATTTTATACTCCTGCAGCACCTTTATCCAACATTTGATCATACCTTCCATAATTTTAGAGTTTATTAACCGTTTCATTGACACATAGTCATGTTTGACAAATACTACAGCTATAAGCAATGCCTTCTTTGTCCTACAGTAGTAGTGGTCAGGAGCAGTTAACATACATAATTACATGCTCCATGCCTTTCTGTATCTGTGTAAAATCCACTCTAATTCCATTATCACCAGTGTTTGTGTATCAAGGACAGGTGGATAGTCTTGACAACGATAAACCAATGCTGATGGTTTAACCAAAAGTTTGCTTTAAGGAATTGAACACATTTTCACATTTCATTGTTCATGTGAAGTATGTACTAGCCTTATTCAGTTCAGACAGTGGTATTGTTATCTTACAGAAATTGGACACAAACTAGTTGTAATACAATGCAAAACCCAAAAAGATGTATATTATCATTTAGTTTCAGATTGGGGCTAGTCCTTAATCACTGCAATCTTTGCAGGATCAGTTGATGCTCTGTTCCTACTAACCATATTACCAAGAAATTCCATTTCTATATGCATGAGTGCACAATTTTCTGGTTTCTATTTCAAGTCTGTGTCCTTGATGCACTGGAATACAA